GCATTGTCGGCTATGTTTTTGGACAAATGCAAAAAAGGAACCTGCCAAAGAACCGATCCCACGACGTCCCGCCTAAGAAACCCGCTCCCTATCCGTTGCGCTCTGCTGCCACGTTTCAGAACGATTCCATACGTAAATGTAAAGACGCTTCAACGTTTCCTCGCGATAGCACGTGAAACGACCATGCGGGGATAAAACCCTTCATAACTCCGTTCAGAGAATCGTTCTGCAAATTTTGAAGACAGTTCTGAGTTCACCGTCCCAAGACGCGTACAACGGTGTGCAGCTCATTGGAAATGGCCGGGCTGACCTGATGACCTTTCCTGGTGAGTGGGAAATTGCCTCGGTAGTGAGAATTCGTCATTATACGCTTTATGATTAGCCTATTGGGAGGGCCTGATTTAGAGAGGGGCAAGAGTATGCATCTCAACTGAAACTCTAGGAGTACTGTACCGGAACGGGCTGTGCACAAGAAGCTTTGAAATGTAGCCTATAATCAAGGTTGCACATAGCTCTGTGAGACCTTGTAGCTGGACTCGATAGATCTTCTTGTCGACTTTCTTGAGTCTTATTGTTAACTGCACCCAGTAAGAGCGTGGTTATACTTCGCGAATCAGTTTCTGATCTCATGAGCGATTATCGAACCACGAGGTATGGACTCTTTCTAGAGCTAATCACGAATGTGCAAAATTACTACTCCTCAGAGGAAACTGCAGATGGCTGACGTTGGAAATATGAAAGGCTGACTATCCCAACGTGGCGAAGGCTGAGCATGGTCCTTCAAGTTATACAATAATTCATTAAAGTTTAGGAATGTCACGTAGGCATTCCGAATACAGTACATTTTGTGGAACTCCAGAGTCGAACCACCTCCATTCAGGACCCCCACCCCATTGTAACGTGGCAATTTAGTTTCTTCTCAAGTGATTTTTTTCTTTTCCCTACGTCAGCGACATGGTTTTTGAAGTTTGTCGTGGAGCTCCGATTGGCTCGTAAAGTTGGTAAGACGTACCTATAGCCCTTTATTTGTCGCTTGGCATACAGACCGATACCGATGGTATGAATGACTGCTTTGACCTGAAAAATACAAGTATAAATCCAAAGGAAGCAATGAACCATTACCGGTTTCCAAGCAATACTATCAGCCATTGCTTAACGGCTGTTCGCCAA